CGATTCACCCTAAAATTTCAAAATTTAACACTTAAATACAATATAATACACAAGATGAAAATATAATATACTTTACTACACCACAATATTTAGGTATCACCATAAATCTTTAACAAAATAAAACGTTAAAATTTTTAAAATCCAAAGTAAATCAATATAATCTTTCTTTTTTGAAAATAATATTTAAAAAAAGGCGATGGTAAAATAACGACAGGCGAGTTTCGATCTGGGTGTTTCAGGTTTGAATCTAGGAGGATTTAACATTAATTAGGTAACATTAATGTTTAATCCTCCTAGGTTTGAACTGATTGAGAGGAATACATGAAACCGAAGGGGGGAGGTAGCAACAAGTGCACTAGTATTTACTAGTGTCCAATTACAATTTGATGGATTTAACCAAAACCTTTTCTATTTCACTTATTTTTAGCTGTTAAATTTCAAACGATACGTTTTAGCGACATCATTAACGTTATTATCATCATCATCGTTTGAGTTTGGGTTTGCGGCAATGTATTTTTATGAATAAAACCTTTAATTTTATACCAAACTTGACCTCTGCTGCTATTAATTGACTGTATGCACTATTAATTAACAGCTGTGTCTAAGGATTATGTCGGCCTTAGTCACAAACAGGACAACAAGATCGCTCCACTCATCCCACACTCATCTCCATTCATACTTGGCTTAAAATGCATACATTTGTATGGTCGCCATTTCAAAGCAACATGGCTACATTATCAATGACAAACGTGGAAAACCTTACACGAGTGTGAGTAAGTCCGAAAACAGAGTAAGTCCGAAAACAACTCTAAAAAACAATAAGCAATAAATTGCAAGAACCGTAGCTTATATCATTGGGTATACACGTATGTACTGACGTGTATACTCAATGCTTATATCGAACGAATGTACATCGTGAGAATTTCCATTAGTTGTTCCATTTAGTTGTGTGTCCATTAGTTTAGTATAATATTTTAGTTGACTCTTATAAAGTCAGCGGAAATTGTGACTGTTATTACCCTTGAAATAATGTTTGTGTAGTACTTTGCAATCCTACCAATGCTTATAGAATCATACGATTACAATTTTTTAGAGTGGTGACTACTGTATCTTTTTGGTTTGCTTGTAAAACAGGATCAACAGAGATTCTCCATCGACTTAAACAATACGATACTCTCAAATTGTTCATTGCAATAATAACAAAATATCACACAGTTTGATGAATATTTGTGTGTAAACCACATACCCGTACACCTGTATTCAATCTATTTTACCTTTTATTTTTCCAAGACTTTATAGAAAATCACGCATTACGTGATCAGTGAAAAAAGGCTGTATCCCATGTGTTTTATAGGCAAAGAAGACAAGGGCGGTCCTAGACATATATTTTGGGGGGTCACCGGGGGCCTGGGTGGTATGGAATACCTCCAAAAAAGGAGGGGGTCCTGGGGTTTCCCCCGGGAAAAACATATAAATAAATAAATATAGGCTATACAGGGTGATCAACTCAAGGAGGCCACCATTGGGATATCAGAAACGGTAAGAATTAGAGAAAACTTAAAATGGAGGACATTCCTTTATTTTTTGTGGCAGTTAAAAATATGATTTAAGTTTTTTCCGAAATGGCGGCCAAATTTGAAATTTCTTATGGAACACTCCATATTTGATCATGTTTTCGGATAGAATAGGCAATTTAAAAACTTTTTTAGCCTTGACATTTTTTCGATAAACCCACTCGTTCAGGAGTTACAGCCTATGGAAAAATGACTTCCGGTGTACATTTTACATCATGTAGCTCCTAAACAAGTAAGTTTATAGCAAAAATGCGAAGAGTAAAAAAGTCTTACAATTGCATCCACATTCCAAAAAGACCATAATTCATTAAAAATATGAATTATATTATTTAAAAAATGGCGGCAAACTTGAGAAGTGGAAAACTTATTTTATAGTCTTTAAGGAATGTAGATGCAATTCTAAGAGTAATTTACTTTTTGCAATTTTGCTCTAAACTTACTCGTTTAGGAGCTACATGATGTAAAATGTACAACGGAAGTAATTTTTCCATAGGCTGTACTCCTAAACGAGTGGGTTTATCGAAAAAATGTCGAGGCTAAAAAAGTTTTTAAATTGCATATTCTATCCGAAAACATGATAAAAAAACTAAAATCATATTTTTAACTGACACAAAAAATAATGGAATGTCCCCCATTTAAAGTTTTCTCTAATTCTTACCGTTTCCGATTTCCCAATGGTGGCCTCCTTGAGCTGATCACCCTGTATATATGAATTTGAACGGATGGTGTTTTTGGCCTCTAGGGACCTCACAACGAAAAATTAAATCGGTCCCGGGTCCAGGTGTTGCCAAGGAGCTACGGTAATAGCTTATTCCCTATATGCGAAATTCTCCAAAAACCTAATAGTTATATAGAACAATATTACATTCAACCAGCTGTTAGTTAAAACAAATTATATGGGACTAAAACAAAACGATGATTACAAAGATTCCTTTAAAAAATAATTTGAACATCCTACTATTTTACTATGCATATTTAATTAATCTGCCATCCTCATACCTAAATTGAATGTATCAATGGTCAGCATTACACATAGTATAAATAAGGCAACTCTAAATATGTCTTTAAATTTGTTTCCAAATGCTGAATTTGAGTCCCAAATGCTGAATGTTTACAGCTGTTATGTTAAGCAAATTATATTGTACTAAAAGCCAGCTTAGAAGGTTGGCGTCGGCTGCTAGACTTTAAAAAAATTAAAACTTAATTTCTAAAAAACTGGGACCCTTAATTATAATTATGGCTATGACATTCCCTAGTTCTCAAAATTATCTTTCTTTCAACACAAAAATAATGAAAATCCGTCGACTGGTTGATTCAGAATGTGAAAAAACCCCATTTACGTTTTAATCATGTATATGATAGTTTGGACAGGTTTCAACCCTTCCGAGGCGTATTAAATTTACACAGTTTATATGTAGACTACATTATAACTCATAAAATAGTTCTACAATTAAATGGATCTCCTTTTACAAACGTATATAATAACCAGAAATTTACAGATCGTCCTTGCGTGTATTTTATGCCACAAATTTTGACGAAAGGCTTTTCATTACATAAACTATACCTATTTACAGTGTTGACCAAACAATTGGCAAGATGCATTAATAGATAAGCTATGTACCAAATATGATAATTTTAGCTCTATTCTAATTATGACAAAACACGAAGTAACTAAAAGCGAGTTTTGTTGGTGTAGTAAGCGTTGCAGGAGGTCTACTTTACACTGAATCGACGTTCACTTTTATTGCTTTTGATCTTCCGGCACTGTTGACTCAGCGAAACTGAACTTGTATTTTACCGTATTTCGTTATATTAAAACTGCTGTTGCATTAGGTCAAATTCCCAATAAGTCAATTGCTTTAACATAGACCACGTTTTTAGTTCGGACTGTATTATTTGACTTACTGGGACTTTTGATCTACAGACACTGCAAACATTGTAGTTTTTGACCTAGCGGCACAGGTATAAATTATTTGATCTTCCGGGACTGTTGACTTCCAGCAACATTCCCAATTAAAAGATTAACCACAATGTGATTCTTAGGTAGGATTATCTGATTATCTGCTTGGTTGAGTACAAATTAAAGATTGGAGTGTTTGAGCCGACCTTCAACTCTGATTAATCCACTTTCATCCAAAAACGGAGTTAACCTTTGTTGGCGTTTGGAGCAAGTTTTATCCTTCCGTAAGAGTTCAATATCTTGAGAAAATGTTTCTGCTTGTATTAAAAACCAAATTTGTTTCTAAGATTCCTCGATTTCTTCAAGTGTCAAAGGGTGCGTAATATTTGATTTTTTTCTTCAGGCACTTAATGAAGTGTAGAGCATAACACATAATGTGCAGTAATGAGGTCCATGAAGAGTATTTTGGAGCAGTAATAAAGTCAAAAGTATGGTTTTCTTCTTTTGTGAGAAGACTAATGGTAGTAGGCTTTATTTCTGGAAGAGTATCCTCCGAGATGCTGACACGAGCTATAGGCCAAGAAGAGGGTGAAGTTTTCAACCAGTGTGGACCTGACCACCACAAGTTGTAATTTATTAGATGAGTGGCAGTTAGTGATGTGGGCCGGGAATATTCCCAGTGGGAGGGAACTTATAAAATGGGAATATTGCCGGGAATATTTATTTGGCCCAAAACTGGGAATATTCCCAAAAATTGGGAATTTTTTTTTTTTTTAATTCTGAACGTTTTAACACATAGCCTATTGACGGTTAAAGAACCTTAAAACTATGTTACCTATAGTAAAAATTCTTACATTTAAATCTAAGAGTTGTCATTCCATGTACATTCCTGTAATTTTATTTAATTTATGAAACTGAATGGATTTTAATTATTGCATTCCAAGAAAAGAAACCTGAGGGAGCCAGCAGCAAAACTGACATTTCTTTCTTACAACTGGAAACTCATTAATGCTCAACCTCTAAGAGAGAGGTTTTGTTTGGGGGCAAAATTGTCAATGTTCAAATAAAAACCCCATTAAATAACACAATATCGGAATTTAGGATAAAATCCGGTTTTGGTTAAAATTAATGTGTTATGTTGCTTATAATTAATTCCAAACAAAAATAGTGCAACCCCCATTGATGTAGCCTAACAATTGCGGTTCAAAAGTTATTGCAACTTTTGTGATCCATCCCTATAGAATATACATACCGTAGTGATCCCCACCGCTTAACCCGTGATAAAGGTTGTTTACAAGCTTATAGGAGAAAGTATGTGTAAGTTTGCTGAATGCTGATGCCGTTTATTTTAGCCTATTTTAATTTATAAAGGGATTCCGCACTTCTACAGAAGAATATCTTTCTAACAGTCGTAGATTTTCCCTGCGATGCACACAAGCTTAGAAAAAAGGTTTTAAAGAAACACGCATGCCTAATAACTTATATAGATTTTTTTGTAACTTACTTATTAGCAACTAGTTACTTACTGAGTTTATATTCGGACTGTTGGTCAAACTTGGATCAGGTGCACTCTCCATAGTGTATATATTTCTCCTATTATGTGGATTTGTTCCAACCTAAAAATAACTACATTAGTCACATAAATCGTAAATCGGTGAAGTACAAATTGATGAGATAGTAGTACTAGTTAGTTAAAATACAAGCGAGGAGTAAATACCCCTACCGCAGCAGCCCTGCAGACTAAGCAAATTTATATTTGCCTGATTGTACTTTCACTAAAATATCTCCTTCAGAAAACTGACAGATTTATTCCCAATTTTATTAACATTAGTTTAACGGTTAAAGTTTGCTACTACAGAGAAGGTAATAGAGGATTTTTAGTAAAATGTTAATTAATAGTTCAGTATGAAATAAATAAATGTTCTTAATTTGATCTAAATATGTTTAATAAACAAAAACAAATTTTTTTATAATTTTACTGTCATTAGGTTTTTTAAAAATGGTGCTGGCCATAACTACCCCATCTGACCCTAATAGAGTTTTTGCATCTTCATGAAAATTCCGTTAAATGCAAACGTTGAAAATAGCCTAAGAGCACCAAATTTAGATTTTTGCATCTCCGTGAAAATTACGTTTAACACTACTACTAGTGACGTAGGCCTACCGGTAACTTAACTCATTGCAATGTAAACCTAAAATGGAGCTGAGGTGTTGAATTTATCAATGCTTAGAGGTTCGGATTGTTAATATAGCCTACTTGGTTGCAATTGATTTTGTAGTTATGGAGGACATTTTAACTTACAGCTTTAGGAGAAACTGATCAAGGTTCTATGGTTTTTACATTGAACTTCATTTGGCTGCACTTTAGTTTACGTCCTACATTTAACGTATGCACATACTGCAGTTTAGTTAAGGTTAGTTTTAGTTTAGAACAGTTTCATTTTATAATTATCTGGTAGATCTATCTACGCTAAGCCGATTTTTTTTAACAGAACTCCTCCCTCATTTTTGGACCGATTTTGATGATTAAAGCTGCGCGCTCACTACGGCGGCACGGCACGGACGGGCGGGCGGCACGGCAATTTCCAAAAGTTAATAACATTGAATGTCATATGAGTGCGCCCACTACGGCGGTACGGCCGGCAACGGACGTTCGGCAGCTTCCGCCGTTTGTTAAAAAGTCCGGGAGACAGAACTCCAGGACATTTCCGAGCTGCCGTGACGCCCGTACCGCCGGTACCGACCGGGAGCACTGCACACCGACCTGGCGGGCGGCACGGGACATCCGCCATTCTCAACTAATCTCTTTCAAAGTAGCAGTGTTTTCGTATGTTGTAAACATAGATGTTAGTAAGTTGATTTTTCTCGTTGAGAAATACCCGAAACTGTACAACATGCGACATCCGGAATATTTTAATAACGTCCTACGTGACAATATATGGGCAGAAATATGATATATTATGAAACAATCAGGTAGGCCTAAGTTTTACACATAATCCTTCTACAAGATCAGGAAACAAGGTGTGGAACTCTCCAAAACTTAGTCTTTTCCTGTTTATGTGGTGTATCTAAAATCTTTGCTTGCACCTTCTTGTTTCCTCTTCCTCTGCTAAAATTAAACCTACTATCACCACTTTATCTACATCCATCTTTACTAACAATTTTTAGCTCGCAGACTGTCAACTGTCCTAAATTGCGGATGTGCGGATGTCCCGTCCCGTCCGTCCGTGCCGTGCCGCCCTAGTGCGCGCACCACCTCTTAAAAATGCCGTCCGTGCCGTGCCGTGCCGCCGTAGTGCGCGCGTAGCTCAAAGTGTCAAAAAAATGGCCCTGATCTGTAGTTTTGCAAAGTGCTTTTCATTTTTTGAAATCTTTATTAGTTTGGGCATGATCTTCCATCAAAGTTGGGGTTTCTCCCATAAGATTACTATGGGGGAAACCAAATATTTTATTGGAAACTTTGTCTCCACTAATTTGAGATAATGGCTGGGCGTAGAACCTTGGTAGAGGTGTCCAAAGAAAGGTCTCGGTCTGTAAATGAGCCATCAAAAGAAAATCAAAGTAAATTCCCTTAGGGCTCTGCCACAGAAGCCTTTAAAGTTCCCTTCCCAGATTTGTTTACATTATCATCATATGGATAATGTTTCATTATTTTTTAATGAAACAGAGCTGTTAATATTTAAATTGCATTTTAAACAACACATTATAGGGAGTTACTGAGTTTGCCAAAAAGAAGTATTTGCAATGTTATGTTATCGCAGAAGTGTGAACCACATCCACCAATATGATTTTAATACTACCTAAGTTATTTAAAGATTCTTCTAAAAGCATTCTTTATATTATACTCATCAAAAAGAAGATAAACCAGGTAACATAAGAACAATAACTCCCCCATGACAGACGGTATAAAATACCTTGGCTTATACCTACTATGTATGGTCGCCTTTTCATATAAAATTATTAAAGTACGGTAGGGGCCTTTTAAGTATAAGAAATTATTATTCATTGAATGATCAACCATATTTTATAACTAGTTAACGCAATAGCCATTATTGTTTCTACAACTATTTATTACTCATTTAACTTTTTTTGTTGCAGTTAGAAGAATTGTCGCAAGCCTTTAAAGCAACCGTCGATTTCGACGGGTTTCACCTAGTAAGTTAATAGCTATATTATTAATACGTGACATGAAACTTTGTGAACAATACTTCCTTTAAGGTTTTTTTTTATTTTGAGATTTAACCCCACATATAGGCCTAGGTACCAAAATGTTCATCTAAGTTAGACGTGTAGATTTAGGCCTACAAACTGACCTTAAATTTTTGGGCTCTGTCTGTCCCAGTGGATTTAAAGTTCCCATGCTATCCTTAAATGAAGAACATATTTGTTTACATTATGATCAGCTAGATAACTTAATTGCTGTTAATATTTTAGTTGCAATTTAACTTAAATGGAAACAAGTGCTACAAAATGTTAAGTAAGTTACTGACTTGGTTGAAATGAAATATTTAGTCTAGCCTACCTACTATTTTAATTTGGGTTGGTGTAGCCTGAATGTTAAAATGGAATAGGCCTAGGCCTACTACTAAGTTAATAAAAAAACTAAATTAACACTGTGCTGCATTTCTTGAGCTATCATTGAAAGAGCCGATTTTCAAACTACATGGAAACATAGGAAAGTCATAGAAAACCACCAAGTAACTTAGAAGAAATAGAAATAATGTTTTTTAGCGAATTTCCCATAGGCTATAGGGAATATAAGCTATTACTGGAGTACTCATGGTAAGACCTGGACCCGGGACCATTTAATTTTTCATTTTGAGATCCCTAGAGACCAAAAACACCATCCGTTCAAATTCATATATATAGTTTCTTAACTGGACTATTAGTATTGATTGAAACTATCGATTTGATAAGTAAACCTTCGTGTGATTTTTTCACCATCAGCAAGTTTGGTTGGTTAGGTTAGGTTATGATAGTTTAATTTAATAATAAATATATTTGGCTGCACTTTACTTGACGTCCTACACTCATTCGATTGGTTTTTCGATTCGATATTTTCATTCGATTCTTTCATTCGATATATCGTTTGGTTAGTTAGGTTAAGTTAACCTTACCTAACTAACCAAACGATATATCGAATGAAGCAATCGATTAATCGATATATCGATCGATATTTTCATTCGAATGAGTGTAGGACGTCAAGTAAAGTGCAGCCATATATTTAAAAATATCGATTATTAATCAATATTTTCAATTCGATAGTTTCAATCGATATTAGCATAGTCCAGTTAAGAAACTGTACCCATATATTTTGTATTAATTTGTATTTAATACTCACCTTCAAGCCTTCAACTAGTCTCCTCCTATTCGCTGTTTTCAATTTCAATAGCCTCAGCCTATGGGTGAAAATTCAGTTAGGCCTAGCCTATAATCCCAGGAATGGACCTCCTAACGAAAATATACCCAGAATCAAATAAACCAATGTAACGTACCTTTTGGGCCTAAACGTAAACGTACATCATCAGTGAGTTAATTAATTCGTATTCGTATTGATTCAAAACAAAAACAAAACAAAATTCCCTATCCCTATCCCTGCCTTCGCCCAGATTCAGTCAGTCATTGGCCTGCCTGTTATGCTTTAAGAGTAACTCAGTCAGTCAGTAACTTACTGAACTGAAACTGGGTAACTTTAATTTAATTCAGTAACTCAGTATCAGTATTCAATTCATTCAGTCAGTAGGCCTAACGTTAACGTAACGTAAGTGAGAAGAGTATGAGTTGAGTTGTGAGTTGTTGAGTAACATAGCGTCATAGCCGTCTGTAGTGTCTATTTTATTTTTATTTTTTAATAGTATCAGTAGTACTGTAGTTGGTTTAGTAAGTACCAATGATTTATCTTTGGTAGTACAGTACCTATGGTAAACTTAGTACACAAAACAACAAACTTACCACTTCTTGAATCAAACTGAAAAAATTCAAATTTAGCTGTATTTTTTTTCTTTTTCTCTCTTTCTCTAGTTTTAACTCTAGCAGTCTTGCCATCTCTAGCAGGCTTAATCAAATAGTATGTAGTCTTATATTATACTAGTATTGTTGTTTAAATTATTATCAGCATCAGGGGCAAGTAAATATTATTTGCCATTGATTTTGGTCAGCGGTGTATTGTAAAACTATAATTCCCCCGCCACAGCGAACCTGCAGACTTATCGAATTTCCATTTGCCTGATTGGATTTGCACTAAAAGTCTTCTTAAAAATATTACATCTATTCCCTATTTCAATAAAAGTAATTTAACGAGTACTTAGGCTTGCTGCAACAGGTAGAGAAAAAGTGTTTTTTGTTGTAAAATCTTAATACTGTAGTTTAGTAAGAAGTGAATGTATTTTCTAAATTTGATCAAAATCTATATATTAATTACGTAAGTCGATTCTTTGCGTCAAAATTGTGGGCGACTGGGAAGTCGTAGAACGACGGGAGAGAGCTCAAATAATTAATGTCGATTCACACATATCAGTTCAGTCACAGTTTCGTAACAGTTCAGTCTCAGTTGCATCAGCAATTTCTCAGTCAATAGTCCGTCAGTTGGTTTCAGTCAGTCTTCCGTCTCTAAAATTCACAGTAATTTACAGTCAAAAGTTTTAAATTATAAACCTACTAGCAACGGGTCGCTGTCAATGCGCCACCACGTCAAACCGCCACCTCGGTGTTTTGGTCAGAGGCGTCAACCCGCCACCACAAAAAAACCGAGGTGGTGGGTTGACGTGTACGTACATGTCAACCCGCCACCTCGACAACAGGCCACCACGACAACCCACCACCACACAATTTTCCGAGGTGGCGGGTTGTCGTACACACTCAAGTCAATGAGCCACCACGACAACACGCCAACACCAGTTTTTATCAGAGGTGGCGGGTTGTCGTGAAGCTCCATGTTCGATGTCGGCAACCCACCACCTCGTACGTAGGCGACAACGTGCCACCCTGTCAACCCGCCACCACTCTTTTACGAGGTGGCGGGTTGACGTGTACGCTCAGTGTTCGGTGCCGTCAACGCGCCACCTCGCTCATAGGCGACAACGTGCCACCTCGACAACCCACCATCTCGCGGTTGGATTTATCAATAAATAAATCGGTTGGATTTATATTCTGTAGCATTAAATATATTGGTACTTTGATTCAGTTAATTTAGAGAAAGTTAATGTACCTAACTCTTAAATAGCATATCTGGACATTTTAGTTTATTTTCGGAAGAAAGATTGATAGGTAATACGTGGGTAATACAATTATTAACATGGTGAAAACCCGACATTTAAAAGGGTCTCACGCCCTTAAGGGTAGGAACTTTTAAATTCTAAAACCTTAATGCAAAACTACGAATTGGTCCGAATCCTTTAACACCAACACCTTAAACGTTGAAATTTGTCCACAAATAAAGGAGGAGTAGCGTTCACAAAACACAGTCCTCGCGTATTAATATGAGACTAGTGTACCTGTTGCTCGAAATCGAGCAATTGTCAAGTACCGGTATTATAAAGAAGTTATTTTATAACTACAGTAATAACAGTCATAATTTTCGATGAGTTTAATATAAAGACCCGACTAAATTAACTTATGTAACTAATTGAATTAATACTCACGATTTAATAGCACTTTGAAATAGTAAAAGCTTCTTGTAAAAATATTTTAGCATTTTTTGGACCCGGCCTTATTTTTTTGTGTTTTCTACAAATGTTTCCCGACTTAAATCTGTTACCAGTAAACATTTCTTGCATGTATTTATTTGATCTGACTTTAGGTAGGTTTACTTTATCACTGTGACAACATGATGTGTATATTCTTCATGATTTTTTTTACTTCCAAAATAAGTTCTTCCAACAAAACTGATTGACTGTTTAGATTTGTCTATAACCTCCTATATATTACAAAAATCAATATTTACTCCCAAAAAGCTGGTGAGTTTCTTTTTATATACAGCTGTTTTTGTTTTTAAATTTGTTTCCAGTGTAATTCTTATGGGAAAAATGCGACCTTTGAGAGCGTCCTCGTGCCCTTAAGGGTAAGAGTTTTTTCATTCTAAAACCTTTATGCAAAACTACGAATTGAGACAAATTATTTACACCTCAAACGTTAGAATCGGTCCAGAAATAACGGAGGAGTTTTGTTCACAAAAAACAGCCCTCACGTATTAATATATGAGATGATAAAAACGTATACCAAAAACAAAAATAGAATAGTCATTTTACTTAATTGCCAGTGAATAAACAATTTTTTTTCATTAGGCGTATAAATATATATATATATATAAGTTTTTATGCGCACCTACCACCACGTGCGCACGCAACATACGTGTGAAAAGCATGCATTTTATACATTTAAACCGGCGATAGTCAGGGATAGTCTTGTGCCATTTTATAATGGTGATTGCGAAAGCAAGACGCAAAGAAAATTGTATTCACTTGAATTCAAAAGGTAATTCGGGTGAAATTATCGGTATTCTGTGATTAGACCACGAGTACTAGAAGAGACCCGGTATGGATTATAAACATAAACAAATGATGTTTTAAAAAAATAGTACAACACCTAACTTTTGGACCATAATTGTTACAGCAATGGGTTGTTGACAACACCCCATTGCTGTAACAATTATGGTCCAAAAGTTAATTCAGCTTTTGTGATTTTGAACTATATACTATCACCGCTTTCCCATGATATAGGATGTTAACAAGCTTATGGGAGAAAGTATGTTTCAGAATGCTGATACCGTTTATTTTTACATTTATTTTGTCATTTCTAATGTTTGATATTAAGTAATCGTCCATGATATGAAATAAATTGAATCACGTATATTGACGCTTTCAATTGGCTGAAGGCCACTGGGGCAGAGCCCTGATGGAATTTCAAATGTGTTTTGTTTTATGGCAAATTTACATGTCACGACCTATCCAACGACACGTTAAACTTGATGATATCGGATGTGTAGCAGTTTCAAAACAATAATCACAACATTTGTGTTGGCCAATTAAATATTTAAATAATGATGATGTTTATGTGTAAATGTATCCTCGACTAAACAATTTTCACAATGTGCAGGATATCGTATCTACATAGGTTAAAATAATATTACTGATTCATTTGAACCTTAATTATGCATCAAGCAGTTTTAGATACAAATTTGACTTAGGATTATAACCTGAAAAAAGTCAAAGCCAAAGTCCTTTATTTTTGTTAAACTGATTTTTGTTTGAAAACAAATTGTTTTTTTTTTCGCAAGATAATGACTTTTGGTACCAGTTGCCTCCGTTTAATAACTGATCAACGGTGTTTGGCGAAATAATATTACATTTGGATGTTAAAAATGTAACTGGCCTAAGCGTTTATTTCAAGTTACGGCCTGATTCATACGTTGAAGTACAGTGCTACTTTACTAATATTACAAATGAATGTTTGTGTGTTTGTTTGGGGTTCAATCACTCAATAACAATTCATTGGGCACATCGGGATTAGGCTGAAATTTGGCATGATGATAACACTTTCCTGATTAAAATATAGGCTTGTTATTACCTCAAAACTTTTTTCTTTGTTTTTGCCTTTTTGAATATCTCTCGTATGTATTTAGAACAATAGCATAATATGCCTCATTATTAAACAATCAGGAACGAACCGCGAATTATTTCTGGGAAGGTTGAACGAAATGCATGTTGTAAAATGTAGACGTGGACACCTGGTGCAAAGTATTCGGCCAATTGTTTAATATAAACAACCCCATAACAGTCAGTACTGGGAACTTTAAAGGAAATATTAGGGAACAGAATACAGGGATGTCCCGTTTATCCCCTCGCACGTTTCTACGAATGGACTTAATCTGAAATTTCTTAGATTTTTCTTTCACATCAACCATTCCAGTTATTGAGGTGTTGCCTCACTCAGGTCAGTTCCCTTTCCCGTAGTTGCGAGATCGCGATTGTCCTTTAATTTCCAACCTAAATACTGTTTTCATTTCACGTGGTAATCACAAAAGCGAACCAAACTAATATTCTGCTGTTGATAAAACTATTCTATTTCTTGTATTAATTTATTTTATTTAGTCGTCGGATTATACTTTTTGAAAGATGTTTAGACAAAACAATCCAAATCACTGTTTTGAATGATATTGGACACGTTTCTTTAAAATTGTACTAAACAGTCACTTACCAAATACCATAATGTGACGAGATAATACGTTATCTGAAAACAATTGGCGACATGTTTAGTGTAATCATCTTCCTACCAACTGTCAATTATATCTTTACGTTATAATTTATTTACAATTAGTGAATAAACGGAACTAGCTGCTGTGCCCGTGATTCGCAACGGGAAGATGTACCAAAAGTCCATACTGCTTAATCCAAACACTTGTTAAGTAGATTGAATTTTTTAAACAAATAGCAATCAAATTTTTACAAAAATGTATGCCCTACATTGTAATTACCCTACTGTTTACATTAAAATATATCAATAACATAATTTTTATAACTTATGGTTATAGAATTTTTCTTCACTTCAATAATCAATTGCATAAATAAACCTACTACACATAGTTGTGTAAATTACATAATGTTTACAATTAACATAAGTTATTCTTCTCGTTTTTAATTTCTGACAACAGCTGGAGTTACATAACAATGTCTGTTTCCCATGAATCTTATGGAGAAATATGAACCCGTAAAGGGCCCCAGGGCCTCACCCTAATTATTTCCCTAAAAAGAAAGTTTCCTGCACAACTTCACGTTACGCTCTTTCCAAAAATGACACCAAAAACATGCCAATTGGTTTAGTAGTTTCGGAGGAGTAAATGTCACAGAAAAACCTGCTTGCGTATTAAATAAGTTAAAAATCGCTCACCTCAGAATTTTGAAAGCCCGTGGAGCAGATACTAGTTCAATATCGAAGGTGGGGGGTAGTTCTAATCCTCGGAGCGGTAGCTTGATTTTTGTCCAATTTGAGTCCAATCAGTTCAGTAGCTTAGTTTATCTCATACAAACACACAAACACCACCTCTTCTTTATAATAGTATAGATAGATATAGTAGATGATAGGTGGACAGATCGATGTCATTATTATGTGATTATTGTTATTGTTTATATTTGATTTGTTTACAAGTTGTACACAGATTTAGTTTAGTTAGTAAAAGATACTTTTAAATATAAATCAATTATTTCATACAATTTTCAACAGTACATTAGTGGAATGCGCCGAACCCATTGTGCCAAGAGTAAAAGTACGGTATTAATGCTACTTTGATATTATCCGGAGGCCACCCTTATACAGCGTGCTGCGGTGGTTATGTTAGGTTGGGTTATCTTACTAATATTATAAATGTGAAAGTTTGTGTGTTTGTTTGTTTGTTTGTTTGTTTGTTTGTTTGTTTGTTTGAAGTTCAATCACGCATAAACCACTGGACGGATTGGGCTGAAATTTTGCATGATGATAACTTACATTCCCGATTAACATAATATAGGCATATTCTTATCTCAAAAATCCTTTCGGGCTCCGCCCCAGTGGCTCTGTAATTCCCCATGTTAACCTTATGAGTATTCATATTTAAAGGGAGTTAAAGAATTTAGTCAGCTGTTTCAACTAAAAAAGTTGGTTCTATGATATAGAAAAGCATTAAAAAGTTATAAGATTTACCAACAGGGTGCAGCACTATATTTTTTTTGCATTTATGAAAACTGCTAATATGAACTAAGCAGCAACAAAAAACTGTGATTCGCAATGAGAACTGTCAAAGTAGGATTGTTTACAGTTATGTTTATGTTTTTCATTTCATGAATATTTTGTGATATTTTGCAAATTGTTTATAATTTATTTTTCTCTATTGTTTAGATGAAGTGGTAGAACATTATGGCTATGGTAGATGTGTAATACTATAGAATACTGTAAATTTAAAAAAGCAAATTTTATCAAACTGTTTCCTCCCTTATTGCAAACGCAAAGCTTGAGTATAACTGCAATAAGCATTTTATACTTATATTCCAACCCCGTACGAAGGACGGGTACTCTGCTAGTCATAAATATGTTTGTAGAACTTTCTTAGTTTCGTTATGGATGGAATACTTTAATACTTTTAATACTTTCTTATGAAATGGCGACCATACAATGTAGGTATTTTAAGCCAAGTATGAATGGAGATGAGTGTAGGATGAGTGGCGCGATCTTGTAGTCTTGTTAGTGACTAAGGCCGACATTCCTTAGACACAGCTGTTAATTAATAGCCCAAACAGCTAATGGCAACTAAGGGACCTACAGTTTATAGTGGAATCCGAACCACATTTTTTCCTTGGTATATACGAATTGGTCTAATTATCAGGATAGTACTGCGGATAGTCGTAATACTCACTAGTGCGGACGTTAATCCACACCAGGGAGTTTCCCATCCACAGTGCATTCCTATAATTATCCACAATTCGTGACCTCCTAGTAGCTGGATTACAGGACGACGCCACCCGTCCCAGTCCAGATGATACCAGATGAGTCATACCATCGACAAATCCCCTCCAAGTAGGCCAAGGTCAGGTCGTTGACCAATGGCCGGAGCGCGCGCATCACCTGTCACCGCCTGTATCTCAGGTATCGTCACTCATATGTTGTATTGTTAGATTCATAATGAAACGAGGAAACCCAACCTAACATAACCGCTACAGCGTGCAGTATTTACTCAGTATCTACTCGGCGGAGTTCGTGTGGAAGCTAGGGGCGGTGACGTATTCAACTCAATCTTGCCTTCTGGGAGGCAGAACTCAAAAACCGCTAATTGCAATTGCAATCATATTTGGACAGTAAGCTAATTAAAGTATGTTCTTTCTAGTTATGTGTTTTTTTTGTCTTAGATAAAAAAATCCCTCTAGAAAACAAGTGGCCTCCGAATAATACCAAAGTAACGGTACGGTATTTCCTGAAGCATGAAATGGAATTTTAAGCAGAGCATGATAAATTCAATATAAATCTTGGTTTAAGATATCTCCTAATGATATTTTTGGAATATATCTGTCTGGTATAAACTTCTCTGGGCAATACCCTTGACTCAAGAGGTCAAAGTACGTTACCGGTTGGGTCGAGTCTAGTTCTTTATCCGTTCTCAAATTCTTCTAAATAGAAAAAACAGGTGCGCGCTAGTCCACACAAATTACATTTTAGTCTGTTGTACTCTGTATCAACGATGTATATTTTGTTTTATGTTTTTGGTTGAATGTATTATTATTTTCACCACAATGAATTCACAATAACTAATGTCTAGTTAACTTAACAGTAAACTAGATAACACAAGTCCAGGTAAACTGCAAAAAGTGATGCATTTTATAATACACAGACAACAGCGGCTTTTGCCAACAAAGATGGCGGGTTGTCGTGTACGCCACATGTTAACTCTCGTCAACCCACCACCTCGCATGTAAGCGACAACGTGCCACCACGTCAACCCGCCATCACTATTTTATGAGGTGGCGGGTTGTCGTGTACGCTTAATGTTCGGTGTCGTCAACCCACCACCTCGCACGTAGACGTCAACCAGCCACCACGAACTTCTTCTTCTTTTTGATGACGGGTTGACTTGGTGGCGGGTTGACGTGGTGGCGCCTTGGCGCGTTCCCAAATCGGGTCTTACACTTATTAATCTTAAACAATGCTAAAGGCTCAAAATATGTATATTTCACCCAATTTATCTCAGTTAGATGAATAAACGTAAGTCTTGAAAGTAACCGTCGATTTCGACGGGTTTCGCCTAGTTTAATAGATTATGCATTCTCTAAACAATAACAATGATTATAGGTCGGCCGTTTAGAAAACGACCTGCGCGAAATTTTTAGCGCATGTAGGGGAGGTAACGGAGAGGGAGGGTACGTTCCCCCTCTCCGCCAATGGCCTTTTTCACAAGGTTTGTGGATAGTGACGTCACGTGCAAGCTGAACGTGTTTTATTTGGTGAGTGAAATATCATACAGAGCAGAGCAGGTATGATGACGTCATTGTTCATACGATCGATAGCTAAGCTAGTCTTTCGATGTGGTTAGTTGGTGCTCGATAGTTTTAGTTTGTTGTTACGGTATCGAATAAGTTATAGCAGCTTTGCATTGCATTGTATTTGCACCGTTCGTACCGTACCGTACCATTCCTGTAAATGAAAATAGCTTTTAGGAAATATAAATAAATAAATATGGAGGTCCAGAATTGATAGATAATAAATCCAGTTGGTCTATCAACAAATCACGGATAATACATTTAAACACTTATTTAAAATAATATTGTTTACAGTTTAAAATTTCTGAGTGAACTGCTTGTTCACTATGTTGATCAGCTCTAGAGTTAAATTTTTATTCAATCCAATAACTTGAACTACCGTACCCAGTTGTTTTCAAGTAAATCTTAAAAAGGTACTTAAGTAAGTACTTATAGGTAGGCCTAACTATATCGATAAGTTACCATTTCTGACCAAATTAAATTATATTTACAGCATTAATTAAGTAGGCCTAAAGCCTATGTATTATAAGTCTATATGAATTAGGCCTAACTTATGTACACAACTTATATAACGGTATAATCGTTGTTCATACTTGTGTAAACGTAAACCATCTTGCTTTGATGTAAAGTTTAGTGTAAAAAGATGAAGATATTAAACAGAAGAAATTGATTACGGTATGAACCTTTATTTGGTATGAAAAACAATGAACTCAGATGTTTACAAATATTGTAAACGAACATATGTTAAATACAATTCTTTTAACATTCTCCCGCACCAAAAGAAAAAGAGAGAATCAGCTTGCAGATGATATTGGTAGACGACAAAACTTTACAATCGGTCTTTTCAATATCCCAGTAGCGGTTTGAAGTGTCACAACTCGAGTTATCTTTTCTTGTCCGGGGTGAACGCCAATCACTCTAGCCAAAGGCCACTTTGATGGGGGGTATTGTTCATCGATAATGAGAACAATTGATCCGATTTCCACCGGTGTTGATGGAGATCTCCACTTGTACATTGTTTGCATTTTTTGTAGGTACTCTTTGGACCATCTTTTCCAAAAGCTTTGTTTCATTTGTTGCAATAACTGCCACCGTGATAGTCGATTTTGTGGCACTCCTTTTAGATCTGGTTCTGGAACAGCAGATAAAGCACCACCAACCAGAAAATGAGCTGGTGTTAAAGTTGTTAAGTCATCTGGATCTTCAGTCAATTTGCACAATGGTCTTGAATTTAATACTCCTTCTATCTCGATGAGAACTGTAAGAAACTCTTCATACGTTAATATGTGGTCACCTACAACTCTCTTTAGATGATATTTAACAGACTTCACTCCAGCTTCCCAGTGACCACCAAAGTGAGGAGCAGAAGGAGGGTTAAATTTCCATAGGGTTCCGTCCTTAGATAACAGATCTCTTAATTTGTTTGATTCTGATGTTGAAGCTGTGAAAAGGCGGTTTAGTTCACTGTCTGAACCGACAAATGTTGTTCCACAATCACTGGTGATAGTTGCACATATCCCTCGACGAGCAGTAAATCTTTTATATGCAGCGATAAAAGCTTCTGAGGAATAATCTGTGACTAGTTCAAGATGAATTGCTGAAGAGGAAGAACATATGAACAATACTATGTATCCTTTGTATGTTTTTGCTGCTCTTCCATGCCAAGTTTTAATAATGAAAGGTCCAGCATAATCAACTCCTGAATGTAGAAATGGACGTGAAGGGGTGACTCTTGATGGGGGCAACTGTCCCATGAGTTGTTGAGCTTGTTCACTTCTATATCTAGCACAAATAACACAGCGTGATAATTCTTTCTTTACAGTTGGACGGCCTCCAAGAATCCAAAAGCGCTGTCTTACTTTTGATAGAGTGTTGGTAGTTCCACTGTGAAGTGTGCGAATATGAGCATCGTTGATGATTAGTTTTGATAAGAGGGAATCTTTTGGGAGAATGAAAGGATGTTTTGTATCATACTCAATAGATGCATTTTGAAGCCTTCCGCCAACTCTGATGAGTTTGTCATGATCAAAAAATGGATTGAAGTTGTAAAGTTTACTGGACTGATGTACAGGCTTGTTCATTTTTAGCAGTTTAAATTCTTCTATGAACGCTTGGTTTTGGACAAACCCTGTCCAGAATAAGAGAGAATCATTCAACTCTTTTGGAGTTAAGTATGGAGTATACGCAGTATCATGATTCCCTTTGAGACGATTTATAAACCGTTTACACCATGATGTAATACACAATAGTTTATTAAGATCAGAGTAGCGACTCAGTAACTCAGGTTCAGAGTACGAACAAACTACATTTGAGGACTTCTGCCGTTTAAGTTCAGATACTGCTTCCTTAGCAGGTTCATGAGAAGTTGTAGGCCATTTTGTAGAGTCTTCTGCAAGCCAAGAGGGACCTGACCACCATAACGTATGTGTTTTGAGGGCTTTAGGGCATAATCCACGAGAAGCACAGTCAGCTGGATTATCTTTGCCGGGAACGAATCTCCATTGAGCTGATGGTTCTAGTTCCTGAATAGTAGTAACTCTATTACAAACAAAGTCTTTCCACTTAAATGGTTGATTTTGGATCCACGTGAGAGCCACACGAGAATCTGTCCATAACCACAATGGTGCAGATTCAATACTTAACACTTTTTTGACATAGTGGGCAAGACGTACCAACAATAGTGCTGCTGTCAGCTCCAGTCTGGGGATGCTCATTCTTTTAAGTGGAGCAACTTTAGTTTTTGAACAGACTATGTTTGTTACATTTTGTGAACAAGAAATCACTTTGATGTACATAACAGCGGCCATTGCAAATTGTGATGCATCTGAAAAACCATGGAGCTCGATCCTCTTTGACTTTGTAACTCCTAAGAATCTGGGAATTGATATTTCAGGTAGGTCTTGAAGTTGATTTTCAAATATTTGCCATTGTTTCAATAAGGACGGGGGAAGAATTTCATCCCAGTTTAGATTCATGAGCCATAGCTGTTGCATAAATATTTTAGCTTTAAGAACTACAGGTGAGATGAGACCTAGGGGATCGAATAGCTTAGCAATAGTTGATAGAACATTTCTTTTATTGGCTATTTCTAGAGGATGAATATCCTGCTGAAACTGGAAATTATCATGTGATGGTTGCCAGATTAAGCCTAAGGTACGTACCTTGAGAGATTCTTTGATTTTGACCGATGTTTCTTTTATATGGCACTCAGTAGATATAGAAGCTAAGGTTGAGGGATCGTTACTTATCCATTTTTGCAAAGGAAAGCAGCCTGCCATGCAGAGGTTATTGACCTGTTTCACAACTTCTTGACATTCTTCAATTGTGTCAGCACCTGCAAAGATGTCGTCAACATATCTACCTTTTGAGAGGACTGAAGCTCCCAAAGGAAACTGACTGCCGTGATCAATGACTAGTTGTTCCATTGTCCTTAAAGCTAAAAATGGAGCACATGATAATCCATATGTTACAGTTTTCAGTTGATAGGTACAAAGTTGTTCCTCTTCATACCAAAGGATTCGTTGTAAATCCCAGTCATCAGGATGTACGGCTATTTGTCGATAAATTTTTTCAATGTCAGATGAGAATACATATTTGAACTGTCTAAACCATATTAGGACGTCAGATAAATTGGTTTGTAGATTCTGCCCAGAGTGTAAGATATCATTTAGAGATTTCCCTGAAGAAGTAGGTTGTGAGCCATTGAAAACTACTCTTAGTTTTGTAGTTGAGCTTGATTCTTTCAAAACACCATGATGAGGTAAATAAAATTTTATATTATCATTTTCAGAATGATTTTCAACTTTTGACATATGATTTAGGGATTCATACTCAGAAATGAAGGCAGAATACCGTTTATGATAGTTGGGATTAGCTTGGAAACGTTTTTTCAATGAGTTTAGCATTGCTAATGCAGATGAACGTGAATCTCCAAGAGTTTCTACTGGTTCTTTCAAAGGTAATCTAAATACGTACCGACCATCTTTAGTTCTTGAATGAGTGGACATGAAATGATTCTCACAGGCTTTATCCTCAGGTGATAAGGGAGTACCTTCTGATACTGGTTTTAGAATTTCTTCTTGAACCCAAAATGATTTGATTAGATCTCCAATGTTATCATCAAGCTTACAGTGATAGGTATTAACGTTTGTATGAATGGTGGAATATCCACTTGGCCCAGAAATAATCCAACCAAATATGGTAGATTGTGCATTTGGAGTGGATGGATGCCCCTTTACAAGGCCAGGGAGAATAATTTCACCGAAGGTGTCTGCCCCAATAATAACATCAATTGTTGCTGGATTCATGTATTGAGGATCAGCGAGTTGTAGACCATGAAGATGAGGCCAATTCTGTTTGGGAACTTTTATTGATGGTAAGATAGATGTAAGCTTTGACAGGATATACGGTTTAGTAGAACAACTTGCATCGGGATTAAAGGTTGAGCTAAGAGTAATGTTAACTCTTCCTCGAGTGGTGGAACTGTGAGTCCCACCTATTCCGACTAAAGGAACAGATGCTGGTGATCGTTTGAGTTCTAGGGCTTGAACGATCCGTTCAGTGATAAATGATAATTCAGAGCCTTGGTCAATTAAGGCTCTAGCTGTGACAGTGTTCCCCATGGGACCAATCACATTGACCTGAGCTGTTGCCAAAAACACGACAGATTGATCTCGGTCTAGGTTTGACGAAGCATGATTAATGGATTTGTTGGATTTGCTAGAATTTTTACTTTCAGATTCAATTTGATTTAGATTTTGAGATGACTGATTTGATGAAAGAGATTTTGTTGCAGGTACAAAATGAATCATTGCATCATGAATCATTGTATGATGACGTTTGTTGCAATTTAGACAACATTTTTCGGACTTACAATTCTTCAAGAGATGTGGTCCAAGACAATTAAAACACAACTGCCTTGATTGTAAAAACTCTTTTCTACAAAGTGGAGTTTTATGAAAAAATGATTGACACTTAGACAGATAGTAATCTTGATTACAAAGAACACAAGGACTAGTTTTTTGCTTGGTTTTGTTCTCATGATTGAAGCTAGATATGATCTTAGAGGGTACATTACCAAACTGCTGTGTTGGACTGAGACTACTTGCTGATTTCTGGATACTACGACCTTCTATGTTCTCCAAAGCTCGAGCTCTTCCTTCGACGAAGTCGAGTAGATCTTTGAGCGATGATGGACTTACCGAGGCTCCTTGTTTCAATTCCCAAGATTCATGAGTGTCGTGATCCAGTCGATTTACAATGAGGTAGACAATGATGTGGTCCCAATGTTCTGTTGGACACCCAAGGGCTTTGAGTAAGCTCAGAGACTCGGTCACTGTAGACAGTAGGTTGTTCAAACTTTTTGCAGATTTTGACACCAATGGCTTAAATTTGAAGATCGCATCCAAGTGTTTGGTGATTAGAATGCGTTTGTTTTCGTAACGTCCAACAAGTTTGTTCCAAGCAAGCTCAAAATTTTCTGTTGATATGGTTAGATTTGAAATTAGTTGTGCAGCTTCTCCTGTCAAACAACTTTTCAGGTAATGCATTTTTGAAACATTTGTTAAATCGGGATTTGAGTTCACTAAGGACATGAAGATATCACTAAAAGATTTCCACGATTCATAGTCCCCAGAGAATTGAATCAAAGGTATTTTAGGAAGGATTGGTTTTGGATTTGTTCCTATTCGATCTGCAGCCTTGTTTTCTTCTTGTAGGCTCTCTAAATGGTTAATCATTGCTGATTTACTCATCATGTACGCTTCTTGTCCAATACTATAATGATCTTCAATGATGTACATGCTGTCCTTCAGAACTTCTGGTTTTGACTCACATATCCTTTCATGATAACGTTCAAATTTCATCCATGTTGATTCCAAAACTTCCAGTCTTGTCTTAACTTCTGATTTATTCAAACATGTAGAATCTGCATTTTCATTTTGAAAAGGTTTGAGGTGATTTTAAATTAATATAATTCGTGATTCTTGTAAATTCAGTTTGGATTCCAGAGATGACATGACGATTTTCCAGGATAAAGATGTAAGATAACAGGTTCGATGATAATTTTCTTGATGTTAAAATTGATGAATAACAAAAATGATTGATAACTAGTTATGATCCGGCTCGTAATCGGACCAAATGTAAAAAGATGAAGATATTAAACAGAAGAAATTGATTATGAACCTTTATTTGGTATGAAAAACAATGAACTCAGATGTTTACAAATATTGTAAACGAACATATGTTAAATACAATTCTTTTAACATTTAGCTATGTTTGTGTTGAAATAGATAAAATAAATAAAATAAAGCCTGTCTAACATGTAACTTATTTAATTATTGTATAAGTTACTATTAGTTAACTCAGGCCTACTGATAATCTCCATTGACTTGTTGGATCAAAATCTTTTATAATATTTTTAAGACCTAACATTGAAATATCAGTTTTTGTTATCGGTACCTTTCATCCATTAAGTTAGGCGCCTTAGTTTTTAGGGATTCTTATTTCAAACAACAACAGTGGAGTTTGAGACAGAAATATACAAGAACTATAAGTTAGAAAGGCGCCTACTGGATAAAAAAATAGCTTTAAAATCAACATTTGAATTTCTTGTCACTGGCTTCATAAATAAAAACGAATTTTAACTTTGAAACCAAGATTTGTCCGATGCAAACTATGACGGTGCTGATTCATTATTAAGTAATGGCTAAGTTAGGTTAATAAAATGTAGGCCTAACTCTCAAAAAAAATTTGCCTAAGTTGACTTTACAACGGCTGCACTTTAGTTTACAACAACAAACAGTCTTTGAATTAAGTCAGCAGAACCAGAAGCCCTCCAATCCATTTTCAACTTCCACTACTTCAACAGGGAACGCGCCAAGGCGCCACCACGTCAACCCGCCACCAAGTCAACACGCCATCAAAAAGAAGAAGAAGTTTGAGGTGGCGGGTTGACGTGGTGGCTCGTTGTCGGGGTGGCACGTTGACTCTAGCGTGCACGACAACCCGCCACCTCGGAAAAATGTGTGGTGGCGGGTTGTCGTGGTGGCACGTTGTCCTGGTGGTGCTTAGACATGTTCATACACGTCAACCAGCCACCTCTTTATTGTGGTGGCGGGTTGTCGTGGTGGCTGGTTGACGTCTACGTGCGAGGTGGCGGGTTGACGACACCAAACATTGAGCGTACACGACAACCCGCCACCTCATAAAATAGTGATGGCGGGTTGCGTGGTGGCACGTTGTCGCTTACATGCGAGGTGGCGGGTTGACGAGAGTTAACATGGGGCGTACACGACAACCCGCCATCTTTGTTGGCAAAAGCCGCTGTTTTCTGTGTATTATAAAATGCATAACTTTTTGCAGTTTACCTGGACTTGTGTTATCTAGTTAACTAGACATAGTCCAGCAGCTAGCTATACTTTAGTGTGCAAACTTGCGTATACTCAATATTCTTGCATAACGTTTAAGTTTGATGTCTAGGGAGTTTAAAAAACCTGGGTGTTTACCTCCTACCCCCCACGTTTTCCGGCTATGACGTAATCAAAATGGCGGCCATTGTTTTTTTAAAAAGCGTATATTTCGCAAACTATTTGTCGGATCGGAATGAACTTTTTTTATTTGAAAGATAAGTTTAAATGCTATCTGTTTTATATTTACACATTTGTTGTATGTTTAGTACATTTTTTGTAATTTTGCAAAAACCTGTGTTTTTTAATATTTTTGTGTTATTTCTGTTTGTAACGTTTTATTGATACAATATATCAAAAACCACCAATGGAAAAAGTTGTAGAACATTTAAAAAGCTTTACAAAAATACCAAATTCGATATGTTTTACTCAAAATATTACGTCAGGAAACTAGATGAATCTCATAAAAAATCTATTTTGGCGCAAAAACGCCTATTAGTCCGGCATCTAGGGCAGTGCACAAGTCTTATATAGACAGTTTTACCATTCAATGTTGATGTATGTGTCTAAATAAGTGTTTTCAACTCGGGTGTCACTTCTGCACCCACTGCAGTTTCCGGTTATGACGTCATCAAAATGGCGGAAAGTGCTATATTAAAAATAACTATATTTTACATACCATGTATCGGATCGGAATGCACTTTTCTTTGTTTGAAAGATAAGTTTACATGCTATGTTTCATACGTTTACACTTTAGTTGTATGTTTAGTGCTTTTTTCGTAATTTTTTCAAAAACCTATTTTTTTAAATATATTTGTGTTATTTTTGTTGATTACGTTTTATTGATACAATATATCAGAAATAACTTAAAGAGAAGAGGTTGTAGCACGTTAAAATGGCTTTACAATAATACCAAATTCGATATGCTTTACTCAAAGGATCACGTCAAGAAACTAGAAAAATCGTACAAAACAACCTAATTTGGCGCAAAAACTCATATAAATCCGACATCGATGGCTGTGTACGAGTCATATATAGACAGTTTTACCATTCAATGTTGATGTATGTGTCTATAGAAGTGTTTTTAACTCGGGTATCACGTCTGGACCCACTGCAGTTTCCGGTTATGATGTCTTAAAAATTGTCTTTAAAATTTTAATCCTAAGCAAAAGCTGAGCTAGTAGCAAGCAATACCACTATTGGCCAATTAAGTTAAGTTATAACTTATTTAATTGGTATGTTACCTAAGTAAACCTAAGTAAAGTAAGAGTGCGTTGGTTATCAGACGGGTAAAAAAAAAAACAATCAGGACAGTTATAAATTTTTCCTACAGTCACCAAACAATGTACATGTTCTCTCACTGATTTGAGAAAGCAAAGTGGCCAATTCACTCATCAGTGAGACAATGTTAACATTGTCTCACTCTAATTACTTTGTCTCACTCCAGATTTGCAACGTAAATGCACGAAATAGTGAGCGCGTAACATGCAGGCAACGTCGTAAGCGCGCGAAGTACGTTGGCAGCACTGGCTGTAAATCAGCTGGTCAGCTGTTGTACTGTTGTATTTGTCACTTCACATTAAATGTTATATTAAAAGTTCACTTCTGTGTAAAAATAGGTTATGTTTCTTCACCAATTTGTTTGTTTTATGGTAACTGTAGGAAAAGTATAATGTGCAACTCGAGTTCAAAGTACAATTGCCTCACTCGAGAAACCATTCCTCACTCGCCTACGGCTCGTGAGTAAGGATTTCTCTCAAGTGAGTCAACTGCTCACTTTTCTCACTAGTTGCACAAATAACTATAGTTGAATACCTTGTTAATTACTTGATACTTGGTACTATTACTTGATAGGTATTCAACAATGTGTATTGTTTACAGTCCATTGGTTGTGTGATAAGGAAATACTTTTTCCTAAAGATACCTAAAGATAAGTACATTGTTAGTACATGTGCTCTCACTGATTTGAGAAAGTAAAGTGGCCAATTCGCTCATCAAAAAACATTGTCTCACTTTAATTACCGTACTTTGTCTCACTCGCTTCAGATTTACAACGTGAAGGCACGAAAAAGTGAGCGAGTAACATGCAGACAAGGTCGTATGCGCGCGAAATACGTTGGCAGCACTGACTGTAAATCAGCTGGTCAGCTGTTGTTCTGTTGTATAATTAAAAATGTCATATTAAAAGTTCACTTCTGTGTAAAAATATGTTACGTTTCTTTACCAATTTATTTGTTTTATGGTAACTGTAGGAAAAATATAATATGCAACTCGAGTGTAAAGTGCAATTGCCTCACTCGAGAAACCCTTACTCAGTGAGTCAATCGCTCCCTTTGCTCACTCACTAGTTGCACAAATAAGTATTGTATTTTAATAATAAAGTTGTTTTTTAAGTTAATTTGTATATTTATTTGCGACAGAATCAAGTACTTTTGCACTATTAGTTGGACACAAATGGTGGAAGGCAGTTACGTGATTTTCAAAAGCACATTTTAGCGAATTTTCCACATTCCACATTTGAAAGTATAGTAGCTATTAATTAGTACTATTATAAGTATATAGCTATTATCGCAAGTCTCATGGTAATGGTCCGGGACCGTTAACATTTTTTATTTTGATGTCCCCAGAGGCCAAAAACCTGTGTGTTCAAATAATGTTAGACTGTTAGATAAAATTTGGTTTGAAGGTGTAAGGCGGGATAAATATGGATATTTGCGCAAACCAGCATGATCGGACCATAGGAACGGAGTTCGAAGAGGGGTTTTATGGGACTAAAATGGGATTTTCTCTTTTTTTACCCTTATAACACAAATTTTATCAATTTTTCTCCGAACCTTTTGAAAGACCTTGAAAAAAACAAATAATGTAGTAGCCTATGTAAAAGTGTTTTGTACGGTTATTGGTTAAGGAGAAAATAAAAACATTTTTCATTTAAAATTCCAATGTTATTTTTATGGACGATATTGTAAATGTAGTAGTTGGCTTGTTTATGGATATATTTTGATCAAACTTGGCAGATTTATTTATCCAACACTAAGCCATTAATATTTTAATAAAAAAACCACTTTCTTAGTTTCCCTTTAGCAGCAAACCTAGGCACTCTTAAACAATTTTAATTTAATAGATTAATTGAAAATCAACCCAGGCAAATGGAAATTCGCTTAGTCAACAGGATTGCTGCACCCGGGGTATTTATATAGTGGGAACATTCCTATGGACTAATTACATTGATTTGTTGTGCTTTTATTTGCATTAAAGGGGGTAATGGTCTTATTTTAAGTAAAATAGTTGGTGAAATCGTAACATGTAGCAATTTTAAAGACATCATAACCGGAAACTGCAGTGGGTCCAGACGTGATACCCGAGTTAAAAACACTTCTATAGACACATACATC